CTCTCCGGCGGCCACCGGCGAGTTCAGGCCGTTAGTGGGTCCGTGCATCTGTCTGGAGAGAACTTCCAGGCCCGCGGCTCCGCGATGGTTCTGGCCTCACTGCTGCTGGGTCTGCTGCTGCTACCCGCGCCCTGGAGAGGTGAGTGTGAGGTCCCAAAGGTCTGCTGCTAATTCCAGCTAGCCGTCAGGGGTTCTGGGGATCCCCAGCCGGATCATGAGGTGCACGTCCTAGTGGAACCGGCACCGGCGGGCACCGAGGACTCCCCATCACCACAGAGGGGGACAGAGCCCAACGGGGCACTTTGGGAGCTTCTAAGTTAGAGCCTGTGTGGGACGCAGCACTCAGGTCTGGTATAGCACACGCCAACAACTTTCCCCTCAACACTGTCTAGTGGCCTGGCCGCTTTGGCGGGATTTCTGCGAGTCAGACCGGCGCTCCGAAGGCAATCCCACGGGGCGAGCAAGTGAGTGACTGCGGAGTTGGTGTCGCAGTTCGCATGTGGTGTTGGACCGAGGCTGGGTGTCCCGCCAGGGAAAGACTGCTTTTGGTTTCTCCCCTGGGTTCTGGTGTGCATTGTGTTGTGCTGGCTGTTCTTTGCAGAGACAGTCTGTGACTGTAGAGGCCTGGATAAAGCAGAGGGGGACGACACAATCCTTTCCTTATTATTACTGTGGAGCAGAATCTGTTGTGTTTGGGTAGCTTCTACGTTTATCTCGGACCTGCTTAAGAGTTCTCATACGCGTTTCAGTGACACAATGGATTGATAAGCGCAAACAAGTACTGCAGGTTTCTCCAACAGATGATACTGGGGCACTTTGGGAAGACTGGAAGAAAAACGAACCAGGCTTTCCCGAAAGAAACAGGAGTGGGAGGGTTGGATCACTGCTAAACCAGCACGTTTCAGATATTGCCCCATGCCCTAGAAGGGTCTGTCTGCATTCAGAATGTGTTTTTGTTTGGTTGTTTTTTGTTTGTTTGTCTCTTTTGATCTTCAGTCTGGTTGACTAACGTTTGTCTTCAAGAATACCCGCAAAGTTCGATTTACAGTCTAGCTACAAACCTCGTCTTTCCTTTCAAAATTCATTTGACCAAACGAATATTTCTTGAAAAACTCTCTTCTGGCACACTAAATTACATAAGCAATTTGTAGTTTGAGGCAACATGACAATTTTGAAACAAACACCAAGATCCAAAAACAGGCAAAGAACTGAGCCGGCTCTGTTCTCCATCACCAAATCCTCAAAAATTCCTCAGCCTTTCTGCCAGGTCTGTTCTTCATAATCTGCAGTAAGTCGGGTGTATTTTGATGCTAGTGCTGGCCAGCCAGGCATAGTTTTGGAGGTTGTGAATGTGGTATGCACAGAAAGAGTAGTAGGAACATAATGTTTTAAAAATCTTTGCTTTATTTTCTAAATTTTGAGAAAGTCTTGTAACTGATCGGTTTAGAGAGCTACAGAAAGTTTTAAAATGTGCTTCAAGGAAAAATGAAAGTTTCTCAGTTTTTCTTCTAACTGTCCTCTCTGCTCAGTCCCAGATGGGGGGATGGCACAGAGCCCCATAAGGGGTATCCGATGTCTCTAGGGAGAATCAGGAGGGAAGAGGACTGAGGAGGGGAAGTCTGGAAGTGCATAAAAGTGAAGCCAGTCTGATGCCTTAGTCTGTGACTGAGAAGTGTGAACTCTGAGAGCAAACTGGGCTCTTAAAATGCTTGAATTCTCAAGTGGTTCTGTTGCTTTTGGCCAATTTTAAAACAACCTTCATTGCTTTTTGGAAATAAGCAGTATTTATTTTAATAAATGAATGAATGAATTTTGTAAAGTTCTTTAAGGTGGTAAGACATAACTGTTTTTAAAATAACAAGATTTTGTTCTACATTTTAATTTTTAATTTTAACTGTATGGACGTTTTGCTTGCATGTATGTCTGTGTATCATGTGCATGCCCCATTCCTCAGGAAACCAGAAGAGGGCATTGGGTCCCCTGGAATAGGGGTTACAGGTGGTTGTGAGCTACTATGTGGGTGCTGGGAATTGAACATGGGTCCTCTGCAAGAGCAGCCAGTTCTCTTAACCACTGAGCTGTCTCTCCAGTTCAACATTATGTTTGTAAGTCTTACTCTTTTGAAGGAATCTGTAGATAATTCTGGAAGGAAGGCCAGTGAGTCATAATAGATTGCCAGGTAGAAAAGATGAGTTGGGACATGGAACACTCATGTACCCCAGCCACTTCCCACACAATAGCCAGAATTAGATGTTTCATAACATTCAATTGTGTAGTCCCCAAATGAAACATCCTCCAATGGTTTCCTCTCTCTCCCCAGATTTCCAGAGCCTCTGCTTCCCTATTTGATTCATTTCTAGTCATTTCCCCCTTGTTGCCACTGATCTGGTCACCTCCACATCACCACCCTAGCACTGAATAACTTTTAAAAAAAGACTTATTTTTATTTCATGTCTATGAGTGTTTTGTCTGCATGTGCATATATGCATCTGTGAATGCCTAGTGCCCCAGGAGGACAGAAGAGAGTGTCTGATGCCCTGTAATTAGAGTTTCAAGAAGTCGGAAGCCACCAAAGCAAGTGCTGGCCCTGGAGCTGTGGTCCTCTGTAAGAGCAGTGCACACCCTGACCACTGAGCCATCTCTCCAGTCCTGAAAACTTATTTAACAAAACGAAATCCACAATTTTAACAGCTCCTTGACCAGGAGTGCATTGTTCCGTGTACTTTGACTTTGAATGAAGATTCATAGTTTCATTATAATTCAAAACACATGACTCTGGGTTGGACTGCATCTACATAGAGGAAATACAGGGCTGAACACTTTGGACCTGGGGGGGGGCGTTTAAGTTTCAGAACCTCCAGACTATTTTTGGTACAGTGGGACATTATTTCATAGAACTGTTGTGTTTAGTTAGTTTTAGTCAACTTAACACAAACCTAAACATACCTGGGATAAACGAAGCTCAGCTGAGGAGTTGTCTCCAGAAGATTGGCCTGCGGGTATCTCTAATTGCTAATCCATGAAGAAGGGCTCAGCCTACTGCGGATGAAACCATCCCTGGCTAGGCGGGCCTGAGCTTTGTAGGAAGCTGAGCAAGCCATGGGGAACAAGCCAGTAAACAGCTTTCCTTGGTGGTTTCTACTTCAGTTCCTGCCTTCAGGTTCCTGTCTTGGCCTCCTTGATGACGTGATTGACTTAACATGAAAGCCAAATAAACCCTTTCCTTCCCAAGTTGAATCTGATCAATGTTTTATCACAGCAACAGAAAAGCATGCTAGGACATGCTGGAAAAGGTGAAATGAGCTAATAGCACACTATAAATTCTGAACCAACAGCAGTCTAATTACCAATGGTTCTTCTCTGTACTTGTGCATTCACATTTGCGGTAGGTAATTGTCTTTCCTAGACAAAGTGTTGAGTGGAAAGTTCTTTTTTTTTTTCTCCCTCCGCCTTATTGGAATGCTTCCTTAAAAAAAAACCTTGAAATATGAGGGTAGAGGGTTCAGTTGCAGCTCAGTTGTTAGAAAATTTGTCTAGCATGCACCATGCCCTGAGTGCAATTCCCAGCATGGCATTGCATGAACCAGGTGTGGGGAGTGGTTCACCAGGCCTCACTCCTACCTGAAGGTGGTGATGGCTGCTTGGGGAAAGAGAGTCAACGTTCTTTAAGAGTGTCGCTCTTGGTTAACCATGCTCTAGGGACTGGTCTTACACCCATGTGATACCTATAGCACTAATTAGACTTAGTAAATTGTAAAAAATAAATAAAGAGATGATATGAAGTTGGGAGAGGGATCCAAAAGAGTTAAGGAGGGGAGTGGAGGAGTAGATATCAAAATACATTATATACATATAGCAGGATAAATAAAAGATCCAGAGAGTCAGGTGGTGGCAGCGCACACCTTTAATCCCAGCACTTGGGAGGCAGAGGCAGGTGGATCTCTGTGAATTCGAGATCAGCCTGGTCTACAAGAACAAATTCCAGGACAGCCTCCAAAGCCACAGAGAAACCCTGTCTCAACCCCCCACACCCTCCAAAAAAGATCTAGAAACTGAATCTGGGGTTCAACCTTCAAGGTGAAGATCAGAGAAACAAAGCAGCCAAGCCAGTAGATCTTAGCTCTACCCAGCTGAAATGGCTGGCAATCCTGTCTCCACAAATCCTCAGAGGCAAAGGCTCTGAATTCCTGTCTCTTCCTCCTCTATATTCCTTTCTCCGCCCAGCCATATCACTCCTGTCTCCACCTCCCTAATGCTGGGATTAAAGGTGTGTGATCTAGGTGCTGAGATCACCTTTGTGTGAACTGTTTCTCTGAAGATTGGATCAATTTCATGTAGTCGGTATGGCCTTGAACTAACAGAGATCTGCTTACCTCTTAATCCTGAGTCCTGGGATTAAAGGTGGGTATTGCCACCACCTTAGCTTCTATAGCTAACTTGTATGGCTTATTTGCTATTTTGATCTCCGGTGACTTTAATAAATCATAAACAGTATATCACCACATACACATGTATGAAATTCTCAAATAAGTTAAAAAGTACACACACACACACGCACACACACACAAAGTGCTGGCATATATTCTACAGTCTCAGAAGTCTAAGGTGTAGGCAGGAGAGTCAGAAGTTCAAGGTCATTCTTGGTTACATTAAGATCTGTCTTCCAAAAAGAGGAGGAGGAGGAGGAGAAGGAGGAGGAGGAGGAGGAGGAGGAGGAGGAGGAGGAGGAGGAGGAGGTGGTGGTGGTGAAGACAGATCCGGGGCCACCCTCCTCTTGCAGTGTTTGGTGAAGAGGCTCTGGGTGGTCACTCTGAGTGCCTTTTTGTTTCCCGGTAGTCCACCGGCAACACCCAACCAGGAGCAGGCTTTCTCAGGATAGGTTGGCACTACCAACCCCTTCCCCCTACCTTCCTTGTGGAGTACAGACTTGGCTTGGCACAGGAATAGCTTCCTGTCATGTGCCTCACAGGAAGGCATGAAAATGAGGTCCAATTCTGGCTCCACTTTTCGTACGAAGCTCTATGCCAAAGTGGGTGTGGGTTTGTTTTGTTTTGTTTTGTTTTGGTTCTGGCTTTTTAAGTGAACCCCATCCAGGTCTTTCCTTTCCTTTGGCGGCCTCCACAAGAAAATGAGCATTGTTAATTCTGTGCAAATATGAGGGTCTGTGTGTAGCTTGGACTGTGGGAAGCGGAGGAAAGTCGCTCCTGTGTGCTTTCTTGCTGCCCACTCAGTGGCAGGTGCTATCAGAGACCTCTGCCAGCCAGGAGGAAGACCCAACCCCTTTTCCCATCTCACTCAACCCCTGCCTACAGGTAAGTCGTTACTCTGTGGTTACCCATCATTGTGTCTGCCCGAATGTCTGCATCTGAAATGCTGAAAATGCAGCCTGGCAGGGTGGAGCATTCCATTCCTATCTGTGGGCTCCTTTTAGGGAACAAGAATACTGAGAAACTTGTCAACTGAGGGTGATCTCGGCCACCAGCTCTTGGTTTTGTTGTTGTTTGCTTGTTTTTTTGGTCTATACTTTGGTTTGTGATAAGTGGGAAGTTCTTTACCGTAGCAAGAGGCCTGGTTTTGTTGACACCCTACACTCAGTTACAGCTGCACTTTGGGCAGACAGAAACCTGTTGCTCCCCTTCCCCAGGCCTCTGTCAGTTGGTGGGACCCAGTGGATGTGTGGGGTGCTTGAAGTCTCAGGCAGCCTAGTCCCAGTCATCTCCTCAGGCTCCAGTGTTTTACTGAGGAAGGAAAGATGACTGTGCCTTGAACAGACTCATCAAGAAATCTACAGTTACCTCCAAAGTGTGTTATTTTTTCATTCTTGCCTATTTATCTGTCATCATTTGACTCACTGGTCAAATGGATTTTCTGCAAGTCTTGTGGTGGCAGAGGGACAGATGGAGCACAAGTGAGAAAAAGAGCAAAAACAGAGATTTGGCTTTTGTGTAGGCCAAGGTCATGCACAAGAAGTTTTATATCCAAAACCAAGATGTTCCGTTGATTTGTTTTTGAGAAAGCCCATTTTGTTTCATTAGCTCAGCAATGACTTTTTCTGGCAATTCATTTGATGTGTCTATGTTTCTCTTTGTACTCAGAGTCTCCCAATGTTTCTTAGTTGGTCTCTTCAGAGGTGCTATCTAGCCCAGCATGATGTGATCGATACAGACTTGGAGTCCCATTCACTTCCCCTCTGGAGGGACTGTCCACAGCTCATGGGCCTCAGGTGTGTAGTGAGGCAAACACTCTAATATAGATTCCTTTCCTGGCAGACACATCCAACCTTTTGACTTACAACACCTACATGGCTCACTCATGCTCATAAAACGTGCAATTGAGTTATTAAACAACCTCCCCTCTCTTACACACACACACACACACACACACACACACACACACACACCTCATAATGTTTGAAGTAAGTTTACAATTTTGTGTTGGGCTTCCCTCGTAGCTAGCCAGAGCCACACATTCTGTCAACTGGCCATGGGTTGGACACCCTGAAGCTGCTTGTTCTTGCAGGCTCTCTAATTACCTCAGCATCTAGGGACTCTAGGCATGGTAGGATCTGCCTTAGCCACACTCTCTCCTCATTAGATACACAAAGGAAAGCCTTGTTTGTTTTGGAGAAAGTGTTATTTTGCTATATTAAGCCTTTGGGGCTTCTAGTCAAAGCTACTAACAGCAGGCTGGCCTTGTTATGGATTTGATGAAGGTTTTCACAAGTTAGAACAGGCTGTCTTTGTGGAGAATATTAGAGCAGGACTCAAACTAGCCCAAGTCCCCACACTGCTCAGAACTCTCTGGGAGGTGATAAATATTCATGGATCCCCCATTGGTGCTTGTATCTGGTGGCTGGCATTCCAGTTTTGCTGTGAATGGCCCTTGACCTTTGGCTCACAGGAAATGAAACCAGCTTGTAAGCACATTGACAATTCTCCATATAACTTGGAAATGGTAGGTGAAATCAATGTTCTTTGAAAGTTTTAGAGCAAAATTAAGAGGAAGCTCATTGGATTTAGATTCAGTTACAAACAACAAGAACAACAACAACAAAAAACAGTTTGGGAGGCCAACATGTGAGTTCAAGTTGGGTTAGATTTTGTCTTGCAGGGACACATAGGTTATAGTGCAATGTTCATTTGTCAGTGGACAGAGCAGAGAGGTGAGCACATTTCTGCCTGGAGGGGAAAGGAGCTGGTACACTTTCTTGAAACTGGACCCAGTGCTCTGAGCCCTGGATGGGACTCTGGATGTGATCAGCACTCAGTTTTCATTATACAATGATGAAATGGGAACAGGGGTGGAGCATGATTTAAAACACGAATCACTCAGTTGGCTCTTCAGGCATTGGCAGCTGCCATCCTGGCTGCCTATGCTGCCTGTGCCCCCAGTGAAATAACCCCTCCAGCTTTTCCTAGAGAAACAATCTTCCTGAAGGAGATGGGATAGGGCATGCCCTCTAGAGGGAACAGTAGAACCCTCAGGGTCAGAGGGGGCTTGGCATCAATTTTAAAAGTCTGTTCATTTAGTGTTGTGGTGTAATTTTATATTTGGAAAAAACCACAAATGTACTATATACAGTAAAATATAAACCGTCTAAGTATTTTGGTTGAAGGATAAAGGTAAGGTGACTGAGTCAGATGCTATCAACAGGAGGTGAGGTGAGGTAGGTTTTTGTTGTTGTTTTGTTTTTGTTGTTGTTCTGTTTTTGTTTTTGTTTTTGTTTTTGAGACAAGGTTTCTTTGTATAACAGCTCTGGCTGTCCTGGAACTCACTCTGTAGACCAGGTTGCCTCAAACTCAGAGATCCGCCTGTCTCTGCCTCTCAAGGACTGGGTTTAGAGGCTTTTGCCACCACAGCCAGCTAGGAAGGTGAGTTTTAAACCCATCTAAAAAATCTTTTTGCCGGGTGGTGGTGGTGCACGAGGCAGAGGCAGGAGGATCTCTGTGAGTTCGAGACCAGCCTGGTCTACAAGAGCTAGTTCCAGGACAGCCTCCAAAGTCACAAAGAAACCCTGTCTCAAAAAAAAAATCTTTTCAAGACCCAGCAACCCAAGCCAGCCCAGGACCTATGGACTTGATCTTTAGGGGTGTGGACCTGCCCAGTCAGGTCATTCTAAGTCACCTCTCTAATTGCACTCCAAAGAGCCAGTGTGTCTGAAGTCTGATCCTTGGGGAAGGCTGCAGAGCCTTTTCCTACCTTGTAGGAGAGAGTGTTTCAGAACCTGGCCATGAATTTAGGATTAAGATAATTATGCTAACCCAAGGAAAAGGGCAGGGAGGGCTTCAGCCAGAGTGAGAACTGTGGGGTGAGAGCTTCAAGTCAGTTGTTGTCATGGTTTTAGGACCTGCAGGAGGAGGGATGGGTGCAGAGCTTCATCCCTAAGCCACATTACACACGGATGCTACGATTTTATTTAGATGGGCCGACCACACCCTTAGCCTTTTCTTTTTACCATTGCATTGTTTTTGTTTGTTTGTTTGTTTTTTGGTTTGACTTGGCTTTTCGAGACAGGGTTTCTCTGTATTGTTTTGGAGTCTGTCCTGGCACTCATTCTGTAGACCAGGCTGGCCTTGAACTCACAGAGATTCACCTGCCTCTGCCTTCCACCCAGCTTGCATTTTTTTCTTTTTAAATATATTCTTTAATCTTTATACTAAAGATTTATCTAAGTGCAACATAGGAAGTAAGATTTACCCATGTCCTTATCATCCAGATGTCTGTCTGTCTGTCTGTGAACCACAGATGGATTGAAATGCATACCTGGTTTTACATTTCAAGTTTTTAGATAGGTTCTTATGAAGCTCAAGTTGGCCTGGGACTTGTTATAGAGCTCAGTATTACCTTGAACTTCTGATCCTCATATTTCTGTGCAGTGTTGGATGGGGCGCTGGAACCCAGGGTCTCCTGCATACGTCTGAGCCGTATCTCAGCATGCTTTATTTACTTTCACAGGTACATCTGTGAATGTACCATATACTTATTGATGTATTAATGCCAAACAGTATTATTTTCTTTTAAAGATTCATTAGAGTTACATGTATGTATCTGTGTTTGGGTATGTGCATGTGAGTACAGGTGCCTGTGGGAGCCTGTGGCATAAGCTCTCCCTGGAGTTATAGGTGATTAATAAGCCCCCAGGTGTGAGTGCTGGGAACCAAATTTGGATCCTCTGCAAGAGCAGTATGCGTTTTTAACTGCTGAGCTGTCTCTTTACCCCCAGGCCAGTTATTTCTTAATGGGTGTTTAGGTTTTCCTAAATGTGTTCCATTACAACCAATGTGGACATGAACAAGTCTTAATCTTTACTCTAGAGAAGTTTGATTTTCTGTAATAACACGCACAGATTAAAAGTGTGTGTCATCTTACGTATTTGGGTGTTTTGCCTGTACGTATGTCCGTCTGTGCACCGCATGAATGCTTGGTGCTCAAGAGGGTGTCTGATCTCCTGGAACCAAAGTTGCAGAAAGTTGTGAGCTGCCATGTGGGTGCTGAGAACCCACATGCCTGGATCCCCTGCAAAAACAGTCAGCCTGCTAACCACTGAGCAATCTCTTCAGTCCCCAGATTCACAGATTTTTAAATGTGGAACTTGATGAGTTTTAGTAAATATTCATGACAAAACCCCCACACAAGTTAGGACAGCCCCCAACTTTCATATGTTTCCCAGTGAACATAGACCCAAAAAGTTGAAATGCTGAGCTGTGGGTTCAAAGCAGTCCACCCTCACAGAGTTCCGGTTCTGTGTGTCTGCTCCGTAGGTGGCTGTGGTAGAACATCTGGACAGAGCTGTTGCTTCCCAAGTCTGCACTAGACAGATCTGCCCTCATCATGGTAGCTGGTTTGTTCATATGGCTGAGGCCTCACTCACTGGGTTCTCATTTGGACCTTCCTCCTCGCCCTTGGTTCTCACATATAGGACCCCTCCCTCTGGGCTCTCTGGTTAGGGTCTGTAAATGAACCCAAGGAAGAAGGGGCGGGTGAGGCCATAAGAAGCCCCCACCCATTCTTCCTTCCTGGCTGTGCAGACCCAGTCACGAGTGTCCCACCATGTAAAAGGAACAATATTTTAAATATACTGATATTATCATATAATATGCTATTATGTAATACTATACTATTATACTATATTTTCACTTTGGGTTTAAAGTTTTTTATATTAGGAGGGTTTACTTACATGTTTGTATGCAGTGAGGGCAAGCAGGCAGAGAGCAGCAGCTTTCTTCCTCCATGTCCTTTTCTATAGGCTGCCTCTAGAAGGTGTGGCCCCGACTTCGTGGGTCTTGTGACCTCAAAGGAGCCAGTCAAGAAA